CATCTAGTCTTTCACTGCTAAATTAGGGATGGATAGCGCAGATAGCTAAATTTCTTTGGAAATAATGCAAACTATAACACATATAGAGTTTATCTGGTGAAAAAAATCCAACGTTCAGTTCTAGTGACGAGAGCAAAATATTTTATTTCCTCCTTTAATGTTTCTACAAACTTGTACACTGCCATAAATTATTGTAAGCCTACGTTACAAATGACGTTCAAACTGTACTACGTTTACGTAAACAAAATCAACGTACTTGATAATTTTGAAGTTTTGGTTTGTGTTTTAGTGAAATGCTCTTGAAGAAGCTGTAAAGCGAAACGTTGAGTGTCTAATTAAGTAAAAACAACAATTTGGTGTTAGAAGGTCATTTATTTTTAGTATTACAACACATACAGCAGAGACTATAACTGAATTATATCAAGTATTAAGTAATAAGTTGTGCCTATAGCAAGAAACTATACAGGATAAATACCAATAATTAATACTTACCAGTGGTATACCAATAATTATTATACCACTATTGTCACTTAACAGAGATATTCCAATAATTTCTCACCCAACTATTATTATTTATAGACTTATACTAACAATTATTATTCGGCTATTATAACCTAGAGACGCACCATAAACTGCTACGCAACTATCATAATTAAATACCACATTCTATTACTAACAAACGTAAGAATTTATGAGTGAAAGCAAATTAGAATAGGATTATGTTGTAATATGTCAATCCCACTACATCTACTATATTCATTGCCGACGAGACCTTTCGCTTAATTCTAAGGCTCATCAAGCTGGCTTGGATATGATAGACATAGTAGCGGTATAGATGAAAAGCATGACATACACAACCAATCACTAACTGTACGTATCATTGTTTACTGCAGTATACAACTAAACTATTCTGAGTTATCAGAGGCCTACCATCAACTACCGTAACTAAATACCATAATATTCCATTGCTAACAAAACATGACGGACACATTTCAACATCCGTTCGCAATTTATCATTGTACTTTACACTTGACAATAGCAGCCAAGCACGACATACGTATATTTCAAATTTTATCAACACCAGGTGCCAGTCCACGTACCGAATATCACCAACTATGTTTTTACACTACTTACATGTCCTGTTCTCAATAGGGAAATAAATTAAAAAGTTTTCTGTTTTAAAATTACATTTAAGTTAATCTTGAAATTTATAGCTTGGCCTAACAATTTTTTACATGTAATGTGACAGAAGGCTTGCTTTTATGGTGTTTCGAATGGAGTATAATATCAAAGAATGCCTTTGAATCGTCGTCCTCCCCTCCGGTGAATCAGCGGTAAGATTAGCAACTTATAACACCAAAAGCCAATGTTCGATTCTCTGCAGTGTACAGAGTGCATGTAGCCCATACAAAAAATTCTTTGAGCCACAAATAACCTCGTTCACTAGAACGCCATCTACAGTAAGTTGTTCTCTCTCTCTCTTTTTTTTTCACTTGGGTAAATGCAGCGTTACGCATAACCAAGACTTTATGTTGGATCTTCAGAATTCATTTGGAATAGAAATTAGCAGATCTAAAAATTTTGACAGCATTTAAAATCCAAGGAAAGTCCTTTCTTACTGACTTACCTCTAATGTATGTATTATTTGTCTTATTATTATTGACACTTAGTTTAAGTGTAATTTTCCCCATTGACCATGTTTTACTTGGGCTCTGCTGTTTAACTAAAGTTTTATAATAATGTTTACTTAACCCTATCCCGACGGGCATCCTTTACTGCGCATGTCCCGAGGTTTTAGTGACTTACATTCAAAATCTGCCGTTTAACTAGCTTTATAATATTGTTTACTTAACTAGGTTTAATACCCATATCAATAAACTCCATCTTTGTTCCGACACCAATGTTTCTATCTTATCCTTTTATTTCGAAAGTGTGACGTTTCTTCTACAAGTAGTGTCTAGAGAGGGGGGGGGAGAATTAAATTCATTTAAGCCTTGGCTGAAATTAATGTAAACAACTATTGCGCTTACGCCAGGGTGTGAATTTCAATGACAAACAGATAGACAGATAAAAGAGATAGACGATATCTATACTAGGCTGTAAAATCTTTTGTGAATATGCTTATAAAAAAATTTAGAGAGAACATGGAACCTCCACCACACCGTCTCGACTGGCTCTGTGGCGTCAGTAGCAGATGGATCTTTTAGAGCGTGGGAAAAAAGGGGAAATGCACGCAGCCATGTTTACTAGTCTTTCAAAAGTGGAGCGTGGTCTGTTTCTAGCGCCCTTGAGACACGCACTTCATGTATTCACGTATTCTAATACAAATGCGCACGCTTTGGCACGAGACAAATTAACTATTTCCTATAGAAAATGACAGAAAAAAGAATGGGACAATAACATCCTACTTCCTTAGACCAGATGTTAGCTTTTTCAGGTACCAATATGGCTTTATTGGGTGGTTATGAGTCATATTTTAATATTGGACTGAAGTGCTTCCCCCCAATTGGCTCAGCGATAAGTGTGGGGACTTATAATGCAATAATTTGAGGCTCGATTCTCGTTTTGGATGCAACAAAATTCCCCCATTGTGCATCTGTCTGCTAAACGAAACAAAAAACAAAGACTTCTACGCTTTCTCTTATACATGGGCGTCCGTAGAAAATTTTCCAGGGGGGGGGGGGGCAAAGTAGTGTGAAATTGTGAACTGCATACAAAATTCATATACATATGCTGAAAAAATAAAGAAAGAATTATGTTTCACATTTTCCAGGTGGGACCAAGTGCCCCCAAGTTTTGCTGACTTCTGTGTTAGATTGGCTGTATTATAATGTAGTTGGTTGTAGAGGTTTCTTTTATCTTTCTTTTTCTCTTGTGTGGTTCATTTCCCGTTATTTTATGATATAATCGTGCCTGAGATGATGGACTACCGCAGATTGATCGGTATTACAGAGCACCAGAGACCTGTGATAAAACTGTGTGTAAAGTTAAAAGTCACCACTCGGTATTACAGAGCACGAGAGACCTGTGATAAAACTGTGTGTAAAGTTAAAATAATACCTTTTTTAGTACTTGTCTCGTTATATTTTAATGTAGCAGAAAAATAATGTTTTTAGTACTTGTCTCGTCACATTTTAATGTAGCAGAAAAATGTTTTTAGTACTTGTCTCGTCACATTTTAATGTAGCAAAAAATAATGCCTATTTAGTACTTGTCTCGTCACATTTTAATGCAGCAGAAAAATAATGCCTTTTTATTACTTGTCTCGTCACATTTTAATGTAGCAGAATATCATGTTTTTAGTACTTGTCTTGTTACATTTTAATGTAGCAGAAAAATAATGCCTTTTTGGTACTTGTCTCGTCACATTTTAATGCAGCAAAAAATAATGCCTTTTTAGTACTTGTCTCGTCATATTTTAATGTAGCAGAAAATAATATTTTTAGTACTTGTCTCGTCACATTTTAATGTAGCAGAAACATAGTTTTTACTACTTGTTTCGTCACATTTTAATTTAGCAGAAAAATAATGCCTTTTTAGCACTTGTGTCGTTACATTTTAATGCAGCAGAATAATAATTTCTTTTTTAGTACTTGTCTCGTCACATTTTAATGCAGCAGAAAAATAATGTTTGTTAGTACTTGTCTCGTCATATTTTAATGTAGCAGTGAAATAATGCCTTTTTAGTACTTGTCTCGTCATATTTTAATGTAGCAGAAAATAATATTTTTAGTACTTGTCTCGTCACATTTTAATGTAGCAGAAACATAGTTTTTACTACTTGTTTCGTCACATTTTAATTTAGCAGAAAAATAATGCCTTTTTAGCACTTGTGTCGTCACATTTGAATGTAGCAGAAAAATAATGCCTTTTTAGTACTTGTCTCGTTACATTTTAATGCAGCAGAATAATAATTTCTTTTTTAGTACTTGTCTCGTCACATTTTAATGCAGCAGAAAAATAATGTTTGTTAGTACTTGTCTCGTCATATTTTAATGTAGCAGTGAAATAATGCCTTTTTAGTACTTGTCTCGTCATATTTTAATGTAGCAGAAAATAATATTTTTAGTACTTGTCTCGTTACATTTGAATGTAGCAGAAAAATAATGCCTTTTTAGTACTTGTATCGTCATATTTTAATGTAGCAGAAAATAATATTTTTTAGTACTTGTCTCGTCACATTTTAATGTAGCAAAAAATAATGCCTTTTTTAGTACTTGTCTCGTCACATTTTAATGTATCAGAACATAGTTTTTTAGTACTTGTCTCGTTACATTTTAATGCAGCAGAAAAATAATTTCTTTTTTTAGTACTTGTCTCGTCACATTTTAATGCAGCAGAAAAATAATGTTTGTTAGTACTTGTCTCGTCATATTTTAATGTAGCAGTGAAATAATGCCTTTTTAGTACTTGTCTCATCACATTTTAATGTAGCAGAAAAATAATGTGTTTTAGTACTTGTTTCGTCATTTTTTAATGCAGCAGAAAGATAATGCCTTTTTAGTACTTGTCTCGTCACATTTTAATGCAGCAGAAAAATAATGTGTTTTAGTACTTGTCTCGTCATTTTTTAATGTAGCAGTAAAAAAATGTTTTTAGTACTTGTCTCGTCACATTTTAATGTAGCAGACAATAATGACTTTTTAGTACTTCTCGTTGTATTTTAATGTAGAAGAAAAATAATGCCTTTTTGTACTTGTCTCGTTACATTTTAATGTAGCAAAAAAATAATGCCTTTTTAGTACTTGTCTCGTCACATTTTAATGTAGCAGAAAAATAATGTTTTTTAGTACTTGTCTCGTCACATTTTAATGTAGCAAAATTACTGACATACACTAAAACTTTGTAAATGAAATTATGTATATATATATATATAATCTGTCAACAGTAGACATGACCTGCTAACCTTCGTCAATAACTCTTTTCATTATTATAGCCTTACCAATTTTCATTCTTAGCTCTCTTCAATACCCTGCTGATTATTGTTCCTAGACATTGGACATAATACTGTTTTTCCCAAAGAAACTTGTCAAAGTTACGTGGGTTTTATTTCTTTTAAAATTATGTTTTATTTCGCTTTTAATTGTAATTTTGGAGATACGTTTTTAGTTTATATTTTTATGTTCTTTTTGGAGTTGTTTACAGTGGAATGTTTATGTGCTGAACAACTTGCCACCTTTAAAATGCTTTATTCTTTGTAAGAATTTCAGTGGGGACAATAAGATAACAACCGCACAATTTCTGCCAAATTCTGAGACTTTTCGTCTAAACAAAAGTAGAGTATATAATTAGATATCAACCGTACCATATATGCTAAGTTCGATGACGATGATACTTTTCGTGCAAGGCTCTCAAGGCCAGCTTGGACACGTCAGAAATAGTAGTGGCTGAGACGATGTTTATATTATCAAACTGCTTGAACAACGTCTGTTTCGGTGTGAAATGGATTAAGTTGGAAAAGTGTAATTTTTACCAATTTTATTTAAGGCTCTACGTTATATATACTTTATTACCTTAGTATTAAACCTTCATTGTCATAACATGTTTATGACTTTGCTATGCAACCAATGATGAGGTATGAGTCTCAATTGAGGTCAGCCTATTTGCAGTGTGTGCCCCACCACACGTCATGTCATATAGCGTTATCTATACAATGGTAGAAGGCGACTCACTTTGAACCCACAGGGTGTGACGCATCACTACTTGTGACAACCAAATTTCCAGTTTGGTTTAAGTGACAAAGTGGAAAAAAAGTGAAAAAAAATCAGAAATGTACTAGAATTCTCTGGCAAACCCGAAAACGGAAATTTCGTTTTATTGCAAGGCACAGCGGACAGTTACCTAGGGGACCGGAGACGTTATTCCTCACTCAAAGTCATCGGAAAATTGAAGGTACTCTTCCTTACAAGAACAAACCCACAATTGTGCTCCAGTTTGTAATTTATGAAGCGAGAAGTAGGAAACGAGGTAGGTTTTAGGGCGAGCTCAGATCGCGCAAGGTGTGGCCCACAACTTTTTGAACCCAAGAAAAAAAAATAGAGAACGAATTTATCTTAAAGAAAAAGAAACAAAGTAGACCGGCTTGAACTAAAACTCATACTCAAACAAGTCACAGGAAACAAAGTAGACCAGCTGGAACTGAAACTCAAACAAGTCACAGGAAATAAAGTAGACCGACTTGAATTGAAGATCAAACAAGTCACATTGGTTTCCGGCTTTTTTGTTTCTTGTTTACCCTCCCTGATTTTATAACACCGTGATTTGTTTGAGTTTCAGTCCATGCCGGTCTACTTCGTTTCCCGTGACTTGTTTGAGTTTCAGTCCAAGCCGGTCTACTTCGTTTCCCGTGACTTGTTTGAGTTTCAGAAGTCAATTTACTTTTTGTCATAATAAGTAAAATGAATAAGTGTATATCTCCAACAGACACCAACATTAAGTAAAAGGAATAAGTGTGTAGTTCCAACAGACACCAACAATAAGTAAAAGGAATAAGTGTATAGCTCAAAGAGACACCAACAATAAGTAAAAGGAATAAGTGTACAACTCCAACATACTCCAACAATAAGTAAAAGAAATAAGTGTATATTTCCAACATACTCCAACAATAAGTAAAAGGAATAAGTGTACAACTCCA